AAAGAGTTTGTGATACTACCTGGTTAGAATAAGAGGATCTTTTCTTTCCCTGAATTGCTTCTCCCTGTATAGTATGTCTAAGCCATGGAACACGTGTGCTTTCCTGAATATTTCCAATTACTCAAATACTCTAAAAATTTAAAGGAAAGGAAGTTCCAAATTCCATTTACCTGTTTGAAGTACTCCTGTTTGTGAGTCATTTACTTATCTGGAACATATGTGCACTAGAATCTGTCCTGTTGTTTTCTTTTTAATAGGAGAGGGAGGAAGAGAGGGAGGGAGGGAGAAGCCCATCGATGGTTTAGATACAGATCTTGGAAAAGTATTTTTGTGGGGAAAATCTACAACTAGAGTTTTTCAGATCTGTATTAGTGTCAGTGTGTCTATCTGCCTGCAACTTGTTTGTTATAGATACACAAAGATAAAAGGGGAGTTTTTGTACTGCCTAGAAAATAAAAAGGAGGAAATTCTTTTAAGGAAAGGTCTTAGATTCAAATTTCATGTCAGACTCTAGTGAAAATATCAGGAAGAAAGTTGAAAACCATCACAGCCCAGAAGGAAACAGTGAACATAAGCAGAGGGCAGCTGATCCATCTGACAGTCATGGGCATCTACTCTTAGCAGAGAAAGGATGAAAACTTACTGAGAAAACAGAAATTCAGCTCATAATTTTTAGCTGCAATTCAGTGATGGGGAATCAAGCCTCATATCTTTGATATAATCACTCAGTTTTTATTGGAAATAAGTTGAGCTTTAATGAACACCTTCCATAGAAACAAAACTCATACTAAATACAACTAAATAAAACCTACTTAAAAGATTTAAGAAAGTCACTAGTACTCCTGAAAAATTCCTGATAACACAATTAATAGTCATGGGCATGATTATAAGGAACTGAATTTGATTTACAAGTGCCTATTTATGAAATAAGCAGAGGTTCACAATTTGAAGGAAATACAAAAATCTAATTTTCATTACATTGTCAGTGGCACAATTTAAGAGAACTTGTCTATATAATAGAAAAAAAAAATGTTATTTTAGAACAGTGTGAGACAGTAATGGAATGAGTAAAATAGTGAAAGAAAAAGAACTGAAATTCAAAACTGTACTGAACATATTGTATCCTACCCTCCTATCAAGAGTCACTTTCTAAGAGAGAGAAAGTCCAGTACCTTCTCAGAAGGAAAGGCTAATCTTTCCAAAATTCAAGGATAATGTGGTGAGGTGGAAACCTTAGTGCCTGGCTAACTTTCATAGCAAGATATATTGGCTACAGAGATAGACACATACCTGCAGTTACATTCTAAGTAACATATAGTGCCTACAAAATCTGTTAATTGGCTATGGGATACCCGTGTATATACACCCTCATGCTCCTTATATACGCATGCACACAAAATGCATACATACATACACAGAGAGATACACAAGCACCATCTCTCCCTCTCTAGCTCTACACATTGTATACACACTCAGATACACATGTGAGCTTTGTTAGAAGATGCACAACTCTTAGAATTTCTACTTAGACTTGATTTCTTTGAGGAAAATGTAGACAAAAGAAATGTACTGCTAAGGAGTAGGAGGTTTGGAAAGAAGCATATTTCTTTAGATAGATTATTAGTAAGTTTGATGGTAATTCTGTGGTGAAGTTATTAAAATTATAGCTCCTAATTACTGTATAAAATATCAGTATATATATAGATTTCATGGTGTGCACGTGTGAAACAGACCAGAGGTGTATTTCAAACGAGTGTTTCTCTAGAAGGTATAGAAATATAATCTTCAAACAAAATTTATTTTAGAAATACATAAGACATAAAAGGAACAGTGCTTGGTAATCCAGTATGAAAGTAAAAAATATAGATTAAAAATATTTGTTAAAAAAACCTTTACAAATAGCACTTATGATCAGGATATACCATAAATATATGTTTTATGGTAAGATGGAAAATCACTGAAAGTTAACAAAAAAACCCTGCAGTGTTACAGTTTATGTAAAAAAAAAAAATCTGTTTACATCAGAAACCATCTTTGTCCCTGACAGCACCCTACTGCCCTTCAGCAGTCCTGCACTCAATTAAATACAGAAGGATTTAAATCCTCCAAAGTCCAATATATTTTCTGATATGGCAGGGAGCTTTCATACAAACTGTAGATCATGTGCCATAGCTTCTCCTTGGAGTGACTCACTTGGTATCAGGAGGTGCTTGAGAGGGAGTGGCACTGAGCTTTGGTAGCACAGCTCCCTGTGAGATCCAGGCACTGACAGCAAGGCCCAGGATGCAGCTCAGCAGATCTGGGAGCCATCACTGCAGAGTTAAAAGCAGCAATGCAATTAATTTACTCTGTACAAACTGGCAGCAGATAAAAAAACTGTTGCTTTTCCTGAGCCACACATAGCACTGTGACTGACCCAAAGCAGGCTCTAGGACTTGAACTACAGACACAGAGCTGTCTGCACTGGAGACATGGGTGGCAACGGTCACCAGATAAAAGGATGAATCTCTTGAGATGTTTACCAAGATGATATTGAGTCATAATAATTAGTCTAAAGTACAACAAAATTACTTAGAAAGTATGATGGATATTCCAAAGAAAATATCATGAGTTTTCAATTTCAAAAGCAGCGTTTGGTCAAGTCAGTGAGTTTTGTTCTTAATTTACTCTGACTTCTGTGCAGTGAGAAAATACTCATTCTGTAGGTGAAAACATTGAGAAAGAGTTGGTTTTGACACACGTACACCTAGCTTTGACTTAGGATGCTATTGTTCATTTAAAAAAAGAAAAAAAAAAAACCCAAACAACTAAGTATACATTTATTTTTTTACATGGCCTCCATTTATCCTTCTTATCATTGAAAAGTTTAGAAACTGGTATTTGGCACACATACTTATTTGGTGAGTACACATTTGGCTTTCAAGAACCCATTTAACCACCAGAAGGAAATGAGGTCTCTGAACAAGTCTTACATCAGTTTATGAAAGAATTACTTTCTAAAGTGATATTTAGATGTAAGAAAACAAAAATCAAAACAGAGGAAACACACAGACCTGAAGCACTTAAGAGACTGCTGGCTGTTCCCTTAGTGTTGGAAGGTTTTTTGGCTGTGCTGACTCTAGAACTAGAAGAGAGAGATTACTGATTTGGATCAATAATCCAATCACTTTATGTACCTTTGGTTTGATACATGTAAGTTTCTACTGTTTAAAAACACTCTAGATTCTTTTAGAATTATTTATTAATAGCCAAGAGTGACACGACCAGTGAAACACTAGGAAAAAGGTAGACTTTGGCTAAAAGCAGAAGAACTAGGAACCTCATGAAAAGTATTTTCCTCTGCAAGCATGTAACTGGGACATTTGAATTAGAAAGGTACTTATCAAAGGTTCTCTTCATACTTAGTGTAAAAAAGTAAGCATGTCTACAGAGCATGCAGCCTAAAATCAAAATAACCCGTTACAGTAGAACTATGCCTTTCCATCACCACAGAAGAACCTGAGGGCAGTATGTCCACTTGAGATGACTACGTTACATGCTTGAGGCTAGTAACCTAGCCTAGTGTCTCCATTCAGTTTCCCTTCATTAAAAAGAACAAAATATAGTAGTTTCAAAGCACGCACTTAAATTACTTGGTACAAAAACCCAAATATTAAAAAAAAAAGAGAAAAACAGAAACTGGAAGCCTGTGAAATCCTATTACCTTCCTGACAAGCAACTCTACTTGGCCAAAGGGTTACTACTCTTAAGAAACACCTTCTGAGTCCTTCCCATCACCCACCTACAATGCACCTAAGCAAACAATTGCAACAGCAACAGGCAGGACCAGTCTCTGTGACACTAAACCACCCTTCTTGAGTTAACTCCTTACTGCATTAGGAATGAACCTTCAATGCAAAGCAACGGGCTGAACTGTGGCACTGAGGCAATAAACATCATTACTGTATGTCTAAGCACTGGAAGTGCTGTGTCTTTAGCTGGAAGCACAAATCTTGCAAGGGTACAATAAATAGAAACAACAAAAACTGTCTTTACAGAGACTTAAACTTCTTCCCAAGAAAAACATTTCTTTATCAGGAACCAAAAATGTTCCGTAACAGACATAGCTATAAATATGCAATACAATATGCTAAATTACAATGTGCACTTCATTATTAAGAGAATTTATTTTACAGATCAAATAGCCAAATACACATTTTTAAAAGAGCCAGATAGCAAATGTGGAGGAAACTATAGGCAACAGTCATGGTAGTATTCTGCAGTCCAAGAACTGAGGCAATGTGATTATTAAGTACAAGCCTATAAATACCTTTACATCAAACATACAGTAATGTGTAAGAATTCCATGTTGTAGTCTAATTCATGAATTATTAATAACTTTTTCTTTAAAAGGAAGTTATATATACTGTATACATCCCAGTTAAAAGCAGTGTCGGTATTTAATTTTATTCTAGCCAACTAGTATTACATGTCTTCATATAAGTGCAGAAAACAGGGTTCTTTATACTCCTTTGCTTCCTAATAGATTTTGCATCGCATATGAAATTCTAATATTATAGATGATACATATTAAGCATTACTCCTTAAATTGTGAAGCAATATACAAGAACTTGCAACCAACCTGCAAACAAAGCTATGACATTCAAATTTTATTTTTTAAATGAGCCGTGCTAAATAACAAATTATAATGTATAAAACTTAAATTTTAAAACCAAGTTAACTATATAGAGACATAATTTGGGGAAGATCCCAACAGTAGGCCATTTTTTTTTCCCATGTGCTGGCTAACAGTGAAAAAAACAAGCCACTGGGTTTATGACTTCTTAAAATAAAAGTACCAAAAGGTTAAATGTATGGCACCTGCTACACAGACATTATCTAGACTTTGACAAGCAAAATGCAAATTAAATTTTATTTTTAAAAGTTACGCGAGTACTTTCCAGTTACTTAAAAGGTGACAATTTATTACAAAATGTTGTGGGTAAAGAGCAGGAAGTACTCATTTTTCACTACTACTATTGTGCCTATAAAATGAGAAAGCAGTGATTTGATCAACTCTATTTGTGATCCATAGCAGCAATATCATCATTAAAAATATTATGGTATAGATATAAATAACACTTAATTCTTAACACGTATAATGGTGCTAGAAGTGACAATTCATTTGTTTTTCATTTAAATGCAGGGAGTATAAAGAACTTTACATTCTCTTTTTAATGTATGAATAAAATTTATTGCTCCCTTTTAATAGATTTCTAGAAACAAAATTCCTAATTGTTTCAACTAAAATAAATAAGGAAAAAAAATCTGGGACAAGGAGATGATTACAAGCAAAAGAGATTTACCATAATCACCAACTGTGAAGAAGGATGGGTCACATTACTTTTTTCTTAGCAAAACTACAATATAGAACACTATAGCACAATGTACTAAAATTTCCTTGTCTTTCCTTTTTAAAAAATCCTTGCCCTTGATACCTTTCAGTAGGGCAGCTTGAACAGTTCATCGCCACTTCCAAACCCCTCTGGAGATGAGACGATAAATGTCTTCGGCAATCAGAGACAGGACAAAGGGCTTTCTCGTGCTGTTTCCTTGTTTTCATGTTTGCTGGCTTAACATCATTGTGTACACGTACGACTTCAGTACATAACATCAGATGCGATGGCGTTCAGAGCTGGCAAACAGAGAAACAGCATGAGAAAAGCCCTTTCCTGCACCATTTTCCCCACATATTGTAAAGTTTGTTTCCAATTTCTACCACCGCAACCACTGCACGATTTGAGAAGTACTGAACTAAGTAACCTTCCATTTTGATATGTGTGTGTTTTCAGGTTTCTATACACAAAGATCTACACACATCCATTCATAGCTAGCAAAAAGGCTGAAACAGAAAGAGCAACAGAGATGGCTTCCATTACTGTTATTCTGGGTTTCTTGTTTTTTTTTTTTTTTAATCAGCTCAACACCCCAAGTGCTGTTGCAAGATTATAACTATCAGAAAACTACCATAGTACCTAGAACATGTTCTAGCATGTTACAGCAGACTTTATTCAACAGCATTGTTCCTGAGAGCACAAAATGTTTTTATTTGAAGAGCCGTTTTGCATTTTAAATCTCTATTTACCAACAGCAGAGTCATACTCCTAAAAATTCACAGAAATTAAGCCATTCCAGTCAATTATTTCTCAGGAAAGAAAGCACCATCAATACGACAGTCACCAAGACACTAGTCACTCACTGGTCAGGAAATTGCTATCAACTGCAGATTATTGAGTGCAATACCTTCTGGGAGAAAACAGGAAAAGAAAGAAGTGTGAAAATTAAACTGCAGTTAAATCAGACTTCATTGCTAGCAATGCTTTATAGATATAGGTCATTTAATTAAAAAAAAAAAAAAATTGGGTCACAAGGAAAAAAAGAGCAAACTTTTCAGTTATCCCACCCAAAAATGAAGGTCAAATGCAGTTAATGTTTAGTCAAATTTATGCTGCTACTACCCCAAGGCAAGTTGCTATTGCAGAGAGCTGCATATCATTCTAGCTCGCATAAAAACCACCCAGTTACTAATGATGGAACTTCAGCTTCAACTTCAGTATAAACTGAGTCAACAAGTACTCACTGAAGGAAAAAAAACCAAACCACTTTTTCTCCATATTAGTTTTTACTTGGGTCATATTCAAGATCTTCCATTTTTTCCTCACACAAAAGGTGAATTTTCCTTTTCTTCCCATTCGCTCTGTTTGTCTTCTACTATGAGTCAGAGAGGGCATATCCCACATTTCTTTCCCCATGCTCTTCCAGTGAAAGATACACATTAAAAGAACAATTCTGAAGATTTTCTTCAAAGTGTTCCACAGAGGAAAAGCATTTTATTGACCAGCTTTACTCCAGTAGTAGCACATATTTAAGTAACTGCTCACTAACTTCTGAGTCACAGACTTTCACTTATCCTTCAGTTTGAAATCCTTTCTCCAGATGCGAATTTCAAGCTTCTCCTGAGACATATATACAGAGCAGCACAGCAGAACTACCAGCAAAATTACCAGCCAGAGAATTAAGAGAAAACAAGAATACTTAGAATTGGAGTAATCAATTTTGATATGGCTTTTAGGAAGGGCTTATCCCAACAGCTACTTAGCTGATATTTAGAAGAAAATACTGAGAGTAACTGACTCTGTATGTGTCAATGCAAAGTATCAGTGTTATCTCAATAACCTTTTCCACAGCAAAAGCATCAGCACTGCCCACTGATGATTACAGGATACTAGATTAAACTCATTAGTCTCACTGGTTTTAAACAAAACAGTAGATCACGTAGCTAAAGATTTACTTAACAGGTGAGTTTTCAGAGCTATTAAATTTCAGGAACAGTGCAATACTCTCAATTTCACATCATAAGCACAATTTTGTCACAGTGAGTGGGAAACCCTAATGGCATTTCACCACATTTCAATCCAGAAAACCAAATGTACTATAACTGTAAGCAGGTCTAAGTAGTAGCTAATACAATCATAAAATTGAGACAGTAGGGCCCCAAAATGCAATGTATTTTAAGTGAGGTCTACTTCCCATTCAGATGTATGTAAAGAAGACACTGTCTACATGCCATCAATTTCTAACAAACAAGTGCAGCAGAGGTCACTGCGTCATCTGAAATTTCTATCCATGTGTGATATCTTTCCATATCTATCTGTGAAATATGGATATTTTCACAGATTATTGAATTCTGGTAAAAAAAAAAAAAAAAAAAAAAAAAACAAACAAAAAAAAACACCACACCTACCACAGATGTGCATAAGTGAATATGAGAAAAATCAACCTGCATGCCTGTTCAATCCCTCAACAGCTTCCTAAGGATGGTGCAGTACTAGCAGTGGAGCTAAAATGACATGCAGACCAGAGTCTACTCTGAAGCAGGGAGAACCACCTCAAAACATGTCTTCATAGATTCAGAGCATGACTGCACCTCTCAGCTCCAGCAGTGGCAGAGGTGCTGCTTTCATGAACACTCAACAGCTCTTCAATAACACAAAGTCATAAAGGACTTGTTCTTAAGTTTAAAATGACAATACAGGAGGTCACAGGACCCTTCCTGAGTGACCACGTGTTGATTTTCAGAGATTTCTACTGTTTCTAAAGTATGCATGATACTATTCTTAAATGAAAAGAATGTCTGAAATAGCATGAATTAAAAGAAAGGGAGAAGAAAGGAAACACATGGGAAGTTCTAATGAACCCTTGTGGCAGTAGCTTCTTTGAACCAAGGTGCCACAGATAACATTGTACTCTATAATTACATGTTTTGAACAGACAGGTTGATACCTAGACAGGCACTTGAATTGCCTCAATGTTGTTTAAAGTACCTGAAAGCAAGGATTTCAGATTTTTAAACTGTGCTACATACTACATGAAAATGAGACTGGAAAAACCTCTCCCTTTCTTTTCATCATTCCAATGCAAATGCAAAAACAATTATACGATTCATGTCAGTATGGAATAGCTCCCATACTCTGCTCTCACTAAGGTAAATGTCAGAAGCAAATGAGCTTTTACAAAGCTTGCAGACATAAAACTTTAAAGGTGCTGTCTGTTTTTCTACCAAATAAATGCATCTTTCTGTGAGGCCCATGGCTATCAAAACAACGAAAATCTGATTACACTTAAAGTCAGTTTGATCTTACGAGCCTCCCAAATATCCTATTTTGAAAAACCTTATTATGAATAAGAAGCCCCTGTGCAATTTATCACTGGGTAGAATTTCTTCCAAATAATTATCTCTACCACATCCAAAAAGAAAGCATGCCATTACGAAGGCCTACTGTCAGTAGTATTTTTTAATTCCTACTATGTAACTTTAAAATACTACTAATCTCTCTCTCCCTTGCCCTTTCTCACCTACAATCACAACAGAACTTGATCCCCTTCTTCGGGGCCATCACATTAGGACCATACTTTCTCCTCTTCAGCTCCCTGTAGCTCATGATTCAACGTGTCTTCAGCTGCTTCAGGAACCTCCGATTCCTTCTCCACAAAAATTTCGTCTGTTGCACTGCTGTATTTATTTGCCCACATGAACACTAAAGATACGTTTTGTCTTGCACGTTTTTTGAGTACAACTATTACAGTGACTTTCTCATTTTATAAATCACTTAGACGAATGTAGAAGTAAAAACGTAACTTCCTTTCTTTAAGACCTGAACCAATACCATTCAGAGACACACAAAATTCAGAGCTTCAAAAGAAAACGTATTTTTAGCTTTAACTATATTGTTTTAAATATCTGAGTAGGAAGTCTTGCAGAGACAAAAAGTAAGAACAGTTAAGATGTGAAGACACACCTTCACAGTGAATGTAATCTTCAGCCTCCTTCAGAGAGCTTTTGGCTTGTAAAAGGGATGCAATACAGTAATTGTTGGTGATACAACAAAATATTTTTTTCCTCACATTAGACATCTTATTTTTATTTTTTTAAGCTAGCACATCTCCTCCCTTTTTAACTGAACTTATTATCCTTCAATTCTCCAGGCTGCCCTATTGTTTTCTGAAAATTCAGGGTGCAAGATGCAAATGGATCATTAACCACAAACATGCTGGTAGCCCAGGCTGTCCGAGGCTGGAGGATGGTGGAGCAGCAGGCAGATGAAGACAGCTGAAGCACTGTCTTATTAGGCAGAAGCTTATTTTTGTTTGTTTTGTTTCTCCACTGGCTAACAGTGACAACTCTACGTTAGTCTGTCCTGAGTCACATTCTACGGCCCCACAGGAGATAAAACTACATAGACTATAATATACAAAAGCAGGCTAGGAGTAAGACCAACTTTTAAAAGCTTCCTTGAGGTTTAAGAAACACTTTGTTTTCACTTATTATGAAATACAATTCTGCCTTTGTGACCATGGTACAACACAAAAGGATTTAACTCTCATGGTCTTTATTGCACAATTTATGCAAATAAATGCATTAAGAAAATTTATATTGTACTGAAATAAGAAACAAAAATGTGAATTCCTGTGTTTAAAAGTACATGTTGTTTTCACAGTAGTGTCAAGGGCCATTGATAGTGAGTAGTTAATCCTTCTCCAACAGTGTGATCACTTTGACAGAGAAAAATATACCTTAAAGGCAGCTGTAGACTGAACAAAATCAATACAAATAGCAACATTAATCTCTTTTTGATATATTCAGCACATCATACTACTCTAATTCCAGGTACAGATATACGAAAATGAGTTAATTATCAGGTAATGAGTATTAAAAAATCCAAAAGAGATCTCTTCTGCCCTTCCAGATGGGATGCCTTTGTCACTGACCTTTAAGTTAAAGATAAAAGAAAATGCTCTTTTCCCCAATCAACTTCTGCATAAGAGAACTGCTTTCCATTCTGCTTTAAAAGCCCCTTCTGATGGAAGAACTATGTTAGCAAAAACCTAGAGGGTCATGAGCTTGCTTTCTTTGTTAGCAGCACTACTGCAGGACAAAGTGCATTTGAGCAGACAACGAATATATTCTAACACCAGAACTCAACTGAAAACTCACTTAGAGGACTGTACAAAAATTCTGAAAACATCAGCACCCTCCTCAGAATTATGAGAGTTCAAGCAGATGAACAAATTAGCAAAAAGCTTTTCTGAAGTGTGATTTAAATTAACACGTTCAAATACCTTTAGTAGAAAATACTTGTATCGCAAAAAGCCATACATTTTCAGTGCTGTTGTGTCTTAGAAATAATCCTTTATTTTTCCCTTCCATTTTTCTGTTAATGCACTTCAGAAAAAGATGAAAGTTTTATCAAGTGTAGCAATACTGACTGCCACAAAGACTTGTGTTGATAAGGGAAACAGAATAAACAACCTTTCTCACAATTTTCAAAAATGTGGTGGCATCATACTTTGAATGAGCAGCTTTTCTTAGGCATGCTTTCTTATCACTACAGTGGTGATACAACAGTGTCCATAAAAAAAGTTCAAAACCTCACTTGGAGCAAAACATCTAAGAGACTTAGCCATGGTAAGGATTTGTTACCCAGCAAGAGTATTAAAACATATTGTCAATAATATAATAAACTCTCCTGAAATATTTCTTTCACAATTAATGCCTGACCAACTAAAGCTTAACTAGAAAAATATTACCACTAAAATCTTTGTGAAAAAGAGATGTAAACAAACAGCAAAGCTTTACTATTAATGAAACTGTCCAGAATATGGATAGATATTACATTTCCAGTGCCTTAAATCTCTTCTGTAGTGGCCTGGAGAACAAAAGCTACTTTGGTTATCAATTTACTTCTAACTTTAACCTAAGGATACTTTAGACATTTCCTTTGCTGTGCTGAATTTCTGAGAAGCTAAAATCTGGTTTATCAGGCAGAGCAGCAAATAAGAGAGAGCAAATATACCCATGTTTCTCATTTTCCCTTAACTTTGCCTGTCAACTGTGTCATGCCACTAGATTTAAGTAGTCCAGTATGCTTCTAGTCTGCAAATGGCAACGAAACTCTCAGAGGAAAATCCTTGCCTACTTTTGAGAGACCTTGAAGTAGAGCTATGCCCAAACGAAGGCTGCAGTTCCAGACTCCATTAATATTAAGAACCACTTATCAGATTCTGTAAAGCTTTATTGCCTTCCACCTGTCCCAGATTACTTCGATTCTCGAGCAGAGAACGCTGGAGAGGACGGTGCCCGAGCCCTGCCTGCCTGGGAGAGCTGCGGGGGCACCGCGGGAAGTGCCACAGTGCCACCTGCAGTCAGCAGTCCCCACCAGTGAGGCTCAGCCGCCTCACAGCCACCTCACCCTCTTCTCATTTTCTCCCTTCATACTGATGAATCTCAAATTGTTTACTTTTCAGTGCCTCGCTCAAACATGACCTTTCAAAACTTTAAATCCTTGCAGAAAAAGTTCTTCTGCAGTGCTAAGAGCTGGAGCTATAGGAATGGCAAAGTAAGGAGGGAAGGAGAAAGAGAGCACCTTAAAATCTCCATTACCTGTCTGGTGTGTATGGGGCCTGGGGTCTTGAAGCCTCCTTGACAGCTGCATTCAGAAACACTGTAAGGGTCCGAGCTGCTTGATGAGCACTTGGAAAGTGAGTCACAGCCCACCACAAAGGTGTTATCTAGAGGCAGTTCCTGAATGACATGGTGCTTCTTGGGGGGTACAGGAGTCTCAGGTTTAATTTGAAAGGTAGGCTGTGGAGAAGCAGACTTGTAGTGCTTTGCTAAATCTGGGCTATCAGGCTTAAATGTGGTCGGTGTAGTGGCCCAGTTATATTTTCCCATAGTCTGTTCTTCTAGCTCTACAGGAATGTCTAAAGTGCCATTTATGTGCTCATGGCCAGGATCATCAGGCTTAGATTCTTCAATAGTCACAAAGTTGAGAAGAAGACTTTTTGGAGAGCGCTTCTTCTTTTTCTTCTTTTTCTTGATCTGCCTGTTCTCTTGGTTTGGGGAAACCCATTCACCACTCTGCTTGTTTTTTTGGACAACCTTGTGCCTAGGCGTCTGGCGGCACCGTACCAAGGCAGTAACAAAAATTACCAGAATAACTGTCATAGTGCCTGCAATAATGGCAATAATGATCTTGACATAATCATTGGTTTGTGGGGTGATCTCACCATCCCCAACATTCTGGCCAACTGGAGCTTCCATATTCCTGCGCACTAGCTCTTGTATGTAGGAACTGTTGGTGACTGTGTCATTCACAAACAAATGCACAAGAGCTATAGTATAAAGAGACTCCGGCTGTCCCAGGTCATTGACTTTTATCACCAGTCTGTGCAAGCCATGATCTGATGTAATTACCTTCTCCTTCAAAGTTATATTGCCTGTTAATTGGTCAATTGTAAACAAGCCCCTCGAGTTCCCACCTATGATGCTATAGCGGAGCTCCGCATTCATTCCTGTGTCATTATCAACTGCAAAGACTTTAGTAACTACAGACCCTGGACTGGTTGATGTTGGAACCAACTCATATGAATAATTAGATGAAGGAATAACAAAAACAGGCCTGTTGTCATTTACATCGACAACATTGATGGTCACTTTGGCAGTTGAGGAACGCTGCAGTCTTCCTCCATCCACAGCTTTCACCTGGAAAGTGTATGACCCCTGCTGTTCCCTGTCAAATGTGATATTAGGTCTGATTACACCAGTAAGAGGGTCTATAATGAAATTATCTCTACCATTTAATATAGAAAGAGTGACTGCAGCATTCTCCCCCGAATCAGCATCAGTAACTGTGATCAGCCCCACTGTGCCATACATGGGCAAGTTCTCTGGCACATAGAAATTATACTCGTTATGTGTGAAAGCAGGGCTGTTATCGTTCTGGTCCAGGACTGACACTGTCACAGTAGCATTGGTCTGCAAGGGGGGCATCCCGTTATCCTTGGCCAGCACAGTGAAGGAGTACCTGTCCTGCTTTTCTCTGTCCAGCTTCCTCACTGCTGTCAGAATGCCTGTACGGCGGTCAAGGTTGAAAATTGGGGGTGCATCAGAACCCAGGATGTAGCTGATCTCAGCGTTGCGCCCGCTGTCAGCATCTGTAGCACTTATCTTGGTTAGCTGAGTACCAGGCGCATTGTTTTCAGGGATGGAAAGACCTATCACAGGCTGTGTAAAAACTGGGGCGTTGTCATTCTCATCCTTAATTTTGATCAGGAGCATTGCAGACTGGTTTAAGGGAGGTTTCCCTGAATCTGAAGCCACTATTTTAATGGCATATTCCCGTGTGGCCTCATAATCCAGAAATGTGGCTGTCTCCAGGAGAAACTGGTTATCAAACACTGGCTTTAGCCTAAAAGGGACGTCATGATCTGTAAAACAAGTAACTTTTCCGTTCAGATCAGCATCCTTGTCCATCACTGTTATCAGTGCAATTTTGGTATTAAGGGGAGCCTTCTCAGACAGAAGCACCGTCCCGTTCACGGGATTGATGATGTATCTCGTGTCTATCGACGGGACATTGTCATTAATATCTGTGACATTAACAGTCACTGTCGCTCTCGATGGAGTTGAACTGCCATCACTTGCCAAAACAGTTAATTTGTGTACAGGAGATTCCTCCCTGTCTAGCGGTTCTCTTACAGTGATGAGGCCAGTGGTGTTATCGATGGCAAACAGCCTCTTGGCCAAACTGGAGATCTGGTTGCTGAAGTAGAAGTGGATCTGGGCGTTGGAGCCCAGGTCGGCGTCGGTGGCGTGGAGCTGAGACACGGAGGTGCCCACGGGCGCGTTTTCCGGAACGCTGACTTCCACCTCCTGCTCTTTGAAGACCGGGCGGTTGTCGTTCACGTCAGTCACTGTCACCTGCAGGATGGCAGTGCTGGATCTCGGAGGGCTCCCACCATCCTCAACTTTGATTTTCATCACATACGTATCCTTCTGCTCCCTATCCAGGATCTGCTGGACAATCAGTTGAGGCCACTTATCTCCCTCAGGTGTCTCAATTATATCCAGCCCAAATACATTTTGGCCCTACAAGACAGAGAAAGAACATACTTTAGCATGACAGTGTACTTAAATAGAAAAACATGTCATCAATATTCTGAAATAGTCATTAAATATACTGTTATATATATACTGTATACAGGAACAGACTTGTATATATTTACCATTATTTTACAATATCTGATTTTGCTATAAGCTCTGGGGCCATAAGAAAGCTCCAGAACAAACACAGGAAGAAATGGATACTTTAGAAAAACTGGAGGGGGAAGGGAAGTCTGGAAGGGGTGGTGTTGGTGTTTTGCTTTTTTTTTTTTTAAATCAGCTTCTCTATTTCTACAGTAAAGTTATTAAATTCCTGGACAGATGTAATTTGGTTTCTCTACTGCATGAGTGAGTGTGGAGATGAGAAATGAAGCCAAAGTTCAGCCAGATCCAAAGGCAGGACAGTATGCTACACTGGAGGACCTAAACCAATATTCGATTTCAGTGAAAACAAGATAAAAGGATTGTTTTTGTTTGTGGAGCAACTCTGGACATGATCTGAAACCATCAGCATAATAAAAACCACCATCATTGAAAGGGCCTACCACATAATTCAGGCGTTAGATGGTACAGACAAAACTAAGTCATAACAGTTTGTTAGAAATACATTTTAAAACTCTGTTAACTCATTGCAACTATACCTTTCTTCATCATTATACATTTTATATTTCTAGTGAAAATAACAATCCTAGTGAGAAACGAAGACCTATTTCCATTTCAAAAAACCATCACAGAACTATGAGATCAATTTGAAAATAATCCATTTTTGTCATGGGGTTTGTTGAACAGCTAAGGAATACTACATGCATTGCACAACCAGAGCTGCTTCTGGAACAGTATTGTTGACAAAGCAGTCTGCTAAAATAAAGATCGGAATCTAGAATCAAATTTCCTCTTCTGCTGTCTCTTCAGGGAAGCAGGGATTAAGAATATCACAATTATCCTCTTTTTTTCTTCAGAGGAAGGAAGGATGGAAAGGCAGTTTTCCAGCCAGAGCTTCCACAAGGGCAGAGCTAGAATTCACATCACCAAAGCTGAATGTAGAGGATGACCAGAAAAAGAAAGCATTTATAAAGATGCTGACTAGTTCAGATTTTCTTTTACATGTCATACCAGTAATAATGGACAACTGCATCCAGACTGGATTTCTGTTTATTGTGCTTAACTTTAATCTTTACTCATGTAATTTTGTGTGTTCTAAACTGGTTTGAAATACTTTACACCAAAGGAAAGAAAATGCTCCTAGAGTGCAAGGTTCCTCATTTCTCATTACTTGTAAGAGATTTGTATTCACTCTATCTTGCTCCCCACTGTTAAGTGAATGCATTTATAGGTCTACTTCTGTGTAAGGCTGTACTCTTTCATTGATTTCTTTCCTCAAAGCCAGAATTTGACCCTATGTAAGTAATCATTTATTTCATGGAAAGAACTATTCATCCATATTTCAAAACTTACTGTGCCACTTCCACAGCATTTGTGACAACATTAAGTTGCAACTAGGGACAGTCTAAAGTGAACTGGAATGCATTTTGAAACAATAACACAAATACAGCTTTGGCTTCTTTAGCAGGAGGCACATGAAAATATAAGCCTTGGAAATAGTTCCTAAATCAAGATATACATTTTGAACCAATTATGTTAAATTTTAGCATGGTAATTCTACGTTGACCTCTTCATGAAGACAGAATGCAAGTTTCCTCTTCAATTTGGCTACTAGTTATTTGCAATAAGTTTCATAATTACTGATAAACTATTAATTATATATTCTACGCTTTAACATAGATTTCCAGGAAAACAAAAAGCCAAAACAAACAAAAAAAATCTAACAAAAGATAAGGGAGAAAAAAACCCAAACTGTCAGCTATCTTTTACCTCTTTATTTGTATACAAGTTGACAGATGGGCACTATTAATCTGTCATTAGATCCCACAAGTACAACAAACACTTCGTATAGACTTTGAGTACTTGCAACTATACATATGCCTCCCAATTTCTGATTTTCTTTAACTATCAAGTACGAGAAAGATATTTTTCATTCTAGCATCCAAGTTTTATATAATAGAGCTGCTGCTCCCCATCATTAGCAGTAAACCACTAGAGAAACAGAAAAGAATGCAAAGATCTCTAGGTTAATAATTAACACTTGAGTAATTTTCTATTGAAAAATATTATCCTAGAGTACTTCTTGCTATTCATTGCAGCTTTATATATCTTAATAAAACACTAAAAAAAAGTTATAGAAAACTATATTTTCTCCTAATTCAGGCAAGCATTTCTATGAAATCTCCTATTTTACATTGTTTAAGGGATAAGGTTAGCTGTGATATTATGCTGCATTTCAACAGATGTATTTTGTAATAATGGACATTTCTCCCTTCCAAACATTTAAAAACCATCTTTTTAAGATTATAAAAATCAATTTCTCTACCTTATGAGCAAAGAAATTGAGAGCTAAAAATCCCAAGTGAAACATGAAGAAAAGTCTTCACAATTAAATTCTTGATGTTGAAGAAAATGGCTCTATCACCATTAAAACCTCAGTGAAGTGAAGTGAAAATCTCCATTAAGGTCAGGTTGTTGGACTGAACTGTACCTCAGTCGACACTTTATTCCAGTGATCTGAACTATCTGTTCAGACTAGGAGGGGTATGAGTCCATAGGAAAAGCATAACAGACAATTAACATCTATATAGTACCTTTTGCCATTAACATGACTGGTAAAAATCATTTGCTACATTCCCATCTCCACCACTGCAGAAGGATGGGAGTGAGAAATAAGAAAGGTTGACTGTTTTAATCTAAAAAGCCAGTTTAAGCAATGTGACCTATTTGAGGCAAAACAGGGTTATGCCCATCTCAGAGCAAAGATTAGTTTCAAGGGGTTGTGGCCCTGATGACAAGATTCTTTATCAGGGCAATGAGCAACTCTGTTACCTGATTCACTTTCCCTAAAGTCCTCCGCAGTGGATTCAAGCACACAGTAATCTCTGAAATAATGCAACTATTGTTGCTGAGCACTCCCTACTGCATATTTACCTGATCATTTGTAATGGATCCAAATGTCCTTTTCGGAGCTGTTTTGGGCTGTCATGTAAATAAAAAATTAAAGAGGTTTTTAAAAATTGTAACATTTAGGTAGATTAATAAACACATAATCACTGACAGACAGACACTTAATGTGATAAGCCAGCAGAGTCTCTAGCATTATGGACAGGACTAATGTGATACAGTGCCCCTGAAGTCGACACATAACTTGCCTCGAGACACACACACTGTCCTACCACAGTGCTTCATTAAACCCACGGGGAGTGGGAGAACACACCAGCTCCTGCTCAGTGCTCCTAACAGCAGCACCCTCTCTGATCTTCTAATGTTATCAGCTAAACCTGCAGACCAGTAAGTTGCTAGAATGTATTAATTTCTCAAAGAAATAAGGAAGACATAGAATATTGTACTAAATGACCATATAAAAATGACTGTTCATGATACAAAGAACTTTGCAATTAAGACAGTCTATTAGTGATTATTTCTTAAAATATTACAAATTATATATTTATATATAATTATACATTGTTAACTGACAGAGTAGATCATCACTCTTCCATCTTCACTCAAAAAGAGTATTCAGAACCTTTAGAGAAAGGCACAGGAGCAAAGGCACCTCACTGCTTTGTGCCTACTGCTTCCCCCTGTAGTTGTTATCAATAATGCACAGTAAATGACAAACACATCATAGGATTTATGGCTTTAGTTCAACTGAATCTTAAGCAGAAGTCAAGGGCTAGACAATATGCATATAATAAACTTTTACTGATGTTCTACAGTAACTCATTTCAATGGATATTGCAATAACTTAGAAATGTACACGTATTTATTACATGTCAACAATCCTCTTCAAATCAGCTAGTTCTATTGTTTCTAAAAATCTTACTCTGCCTGATATCTAAAATAAACAGAGTGACTCTATCCTAGCAGGCCAAAGAGCAATATTTGAAATAAAATTAACAACATGTTAAAAAGATAAAGAAGAAAAAAAAATATTAAAATATCATCTCCCCATTAGAAAGTAATTCATTAGTTCATTAAAGCAAATCATAAAAAACCTTTGGCTGAAATGAACTCTTTAGTCCAAGGGACCATAAATATTTTCAGAAAGTCCAGAAAATAGTGCATGTTTGGTAACTGCTAGATGCCTCAGATGAGGCAGCACAGAAAACCTCTGCACATCTGCAAAATTACAAGACATGTCCCAGCCACTGTTTCCTTGAATGTTTATATCATGACATATGGAACTGCCCTGTAAGTGTGGTGTTATATTAGCAAAGACAAGGGTGTAGTAGCACAATTTCAGTTCCTAATGTACAACACTGGACAGTTATATAGCAGACAGCATTTTTAATAAAAGCCAAAAATGTAAATCTACATTTTTCTTTCAAAGGTGATACTTTAGATGTGAAAATGTGGGCTCCCAAAGCCAAGGTAAAGCCTTAAACACAAAATACTCTACATGATAGGCAATACTGGATGAAAATTCCTGTAACAGGTGCATCTTGGTACACTCAGATCTATAATACTGTTGTGTTGTGGCTCTAATAAAGGTCCCTTGTCTGGTGTTACTGACACAGCATAGAACTGACGTGCTCAGGTATTCTAGAAGACTGAAAACTGTTGGGCAGCTCTTCTGTTCAAAGTCTGCACAGTCACTGCCCTCAGCAGGTCGTGCAACTTGTAACCCAGAGTTACCTGGAGTACATGGTATTAGTACCAGCTGTCACCTTAGGAGCTGAGTGACAGTACCTCGAAGGAGAAAACAGAATCCCAAAGGTCAGAAATTTTTGTAATGCAACACTCAGCAGATGGGAAGTTGCTTATGTATTTGAAACACTAGGTTTTTGTCAAAACAACAGACAGCAAATACCACGTTTTGAATATATTTACTTTTTGGCTGCCCTAATTTCTCCAGTCTACACTTAAAGCAAGCCTGAAACTCCATACCTAAAATGTGTTAATACAATCAACCAGGTTTACAAGGAAGAGAACACGAAGAACTGGAAAGCAGCAATGCACACACTTAACATTCTCAAGAATGATCAGGTTTCAAGAGTAACTCTCTTCCTGTATTGCATCTTCTGACTGTGAAATGCTGTTTCAACTTTTTTGTTTTAATGAAATCTAACTTCTCTTTTGAACCATGGATTACAATTTTAAAAAGCAAAAACAAAACCCTAAACAACCCCCAAAAATAAAAATTCACTTCATATACTTCTAGGAAGTAGGGTAGGAGTAATGGTGTACCCACGTTACTGCATTAACATGATATAAAATTATCCAGATAATTGCTTACAAAAAAGTGGCAAGGGGAAATGGGCTGTCACCTGAAAAGCCTGCACAATGCACTGCAGACATGTAGTCATGTATTTCAATGAAATATGCAGCTGCACCACAAAAATTTAGAATTTTCTCTTCACACTACTGCTCTCTAACTAGCTGTACTACTATGTAAAGACAGGCAACAGAAGATCAGAAATGTTTTACCAGTTGTCCATGGTTTATTGCCTGTCTGAAAGAACCAGTCACTTCTGAATTACCAAACATGATTTAAACTAAACTTTAGAATTTTAAATCAAAGTTTAGAAGCATC